GTTTGGAAACTGTCTATGAACGTCAATCACAATCCGATCCAGGTCTTGATCTGTAAGCTCAGAATACTGCACACCTACTAAGTTGTACTCGGTCATCCGTCTAGTAATAGTGCGAGTTGAGACGCCAAGCATTCTTGATAAGTGTGTCTTGTTGAATCCCATTGATAGAAGGAATTCTAATTGATCTCGGCAGAGAAATAATTTGGGCCTTCCTACAGGTTTTTTATTGCAAAAAATTTCGCATTGCTGAAGGGAAGTTAGCATTTCACCCAAAATATTCACGCAATCGGAGGAAATTAAGCCACTTTCATGAAGAATGGAAATGTGACGATGAAAATCTTCAGTACACGAAATTAAACGCTGTATATCATCCAACGTTATGTCATTTTGACTTTCTATTTCTAGGAAACTCGCACAAAGTTGAACCAACTCGTTAACTACGTTTTGAATTTCACTCATTGTCATTGAAAAATATAAAAGATCATTTCATATAAATTTCATTTGAAATGAATTTGTGTTTTCAAGATCAGGGCCTTTGTCAGCGCTAGATGGTCGCGTTTCTTAATACCTACAGCTGTTAAAAGTTCACGGGCCTTTGATCAAATCAAAGGTGTACAATCATCAAATCAAAGGTGTACAATCGTCAAATCAAAGGTGTACAATCATGAAATCAAAGGTGTACAATCATCAAATCAAAGGTGTACAATCATCAAATCAAAGGTGTACAATCGTCAAATCAAAGGTGTACGATCGTCAAATCAAAAGGTGTACGATCATCAAATCAAAGGTACCTAATCAAATAAAAGGCGTATCATTATCATATTAAATGTACACTGTAATCATATTAAACGTGTACAGTCATCGTATTAAACGTGCACATGATCATCTATTAGACAAATCATCGATTTGTCCAATCTACCGCGCCATAGAAATATGGCAACCCGTTTGGCCGTTTTTTGTTCAAAATAGTGCATGGATACACGAAGCTTCATGAAGCGCTTTCCTCGGTTTGCAACAGGTCTGCAGTGGTGATGGTGAAACGGATGAAAGTTTGCTTTCGACTACTCGGTCCCGTTAAATGAAAACATGAGACTGGAGAGCGACGACGTGCAGCCTTCTTGCCAAGATAGCTGAATCAGATGCTGCCGAAAGAGTATTATATGAATCACTAGAAAATATTTGGAAGAAGTTAGAAGTAGTAAACTTACGACTCACTGAAGGGTAAAGAGTCCTCTTAGCTTGTAACTAGTTTTTGCCAGATGCATGTTTGGCTGTTGGGCAAATTATGCAGCACTCGAATACAAATAAAAATGTACTTTTGCCAGTGTGCACCACCTCTGATTAGGGATTTTGTTTTTTTCTCTTCAATACCAAGCCGTAGCGAATAGCGAAGTGTGTGCATTCTACTAAAATCACATACTCTACATGATGTCGTAATTACGGGCAAAAATCTAATTCGTTCTGCGCATGGCTCGTTGTATTTTGTTGTAAGTCATGTACGTGGTACAAACTTTACTTTGCCAGATGAATTTAGAAATGACATTGTAAATTTTCTTCGTGATCATGAATGTGTAGTTTAGCATTTATGATGTCAGAATACTCAGTACAATAATCGTAATTTTGCTTAAATAAGCGATACGCCAGTGTTAAAATGACAGCAATATCTATCTCTCTTTCTAATTTAATACATAGTTATTTTGGGGATCAGCACAGTCAAATACAAAGAGTCAAACATTTCAAAGTTTTCCCGAGAGCCTTCGCACTATGAAACAGTTTAAAACACATAACGCATACGCTTTATTAAGTAAGTTATTCACCTCATAATTCGCACATTTTCCTGTTTTCCCAATTAAGCAATGAACTAAGCAACTTTGATTAGCAGAAAAATAGGAGAAAACCCTCCAAGGAACGCAAAAGAATTGACGTGCTATATTGTTTGATCCATGTTTCCGGTTACACGTGAATATTAACTCATGCAGAAAAAATTCCTGCGAGACATGAATTTATTAAAGCGACAGAATTTGCCGTTCATTGCACATTTTTACCAATGGTCTCGTTTTCATGTTTGCCTGCAGGCATACTGTATTGGACCCGCGTGAACGTTATATCCCCAATCCGCATTGGTTATGCCTGAATGTGTCTTTTTAATCTTCATCCCAATTACAAATCTACCTTAACCCAAGGAAAACGAGGAACATAGAAGCAGAACAGTATATTGCAATTAAAAAGAAATAGACGTGCATACAGATGGCCAACCTTTGCAATTTATTTTATCTAGCCAGCGTAATTTTATCTTGTTTGTAGATACCCTTTCGATTGATGCTGCAAATATGAGTTCATAAAATCAGATTTGTTGTTCGCACTTGTTCTCTCCCGTCGCCGCTCCCCCCCCCCTATGCCCCATTGCATGCGAAACGAGTCTTCACTATCACGAAAAAATGGTTTATGATATAAAAACAATACGATGGGTAAGACTCGTCTTAAATCTACCTTAACTCCTATTTGTGCACAATGAAAACGAGGAACATAGAAGCAGAACAGTATAATTATTACGATTAAAAAGAAATTGCGTATACTATACGTGCATACAGATGGCTAACCATTGCAATTTATTTAATCTAGCCTGCGTAATTTTATCTTGTTTGTAAATACCCTTTCGATTGATGCTGCAAAAATAAGTTCATGAAAAGAGATTTTTTGTCCGCAGTTGTTCTCCCCCCTAGGCACAGCCAGATTGTGCTCGGCAACTTTTTAGCAACTTTTTGGCCTCGGAGCAACTTTTTTGCTGACGAGCAACTTCGAGCAACTTTTGCAAAATTTTGCTTCTTTTAGCAACTTTGAACAAATAGTCCGGAACCATAACTTAGAACATATTTATACTCCAATGTGAACTACTTGAATAAACAAAATTCCTCCAGAATCGCCGTGTGCAAAAATTATGCCATGTATAGTGTTGTGTTGCTTGAACTTGTTTCAAATATTAACCATGATCTGATCATCTGACCCTGACAGAGTGCGGGCGCTTCTAGCCGATGATATACCAGAAACGCTAATAGATCAGTGGTCGCAAAGCTGTCAATCAAATATGGCGGACGTATTGTCGTCAAATTCAAGCGAAGAAGATGACGCTGTCACAAACCCAATTAAACTGGCAATAAATAAAGATCCTGATCGAGCTGCTATTTCGAGGAAGCGGAAAATCATAAAAAACAGTGGGAAATACAAGGAAAAGTTGTGTGAAAAATCACTCGAAAAATGATACCTGTGTTTGGGACAGACTAAAAGATTTCCCTGGTCAACATTTCGTCAACGAAAATGGGCAGTTACGATGTAATGCCTGCAGTGAGATAATTAGTATTAAAAAAAGTTCCATCGAGAAGCACGTCCAATCGAAAAAACATGTAAACGGAATTGCAAGCATCGCCAAAAGCAAAAAGGAGAACCAGACTATTTTGGAGTGTTTAAAAAAGCAAGATATACGCGATCGTGCGAGCGGCTCAACTTTACCTGAAGATATGAGGCTGTTTCGTTTTGAACTAGTAGAGACGTTTCTGCTAGCTGGTATAGAAATTTCAAAGATTGACATCATGCGTCCTTTTCTTGAAAAGTATGCTCGGCACAGGTAATAAATGGGACATTAGCACTAGAATATAATGTTGTAATTTGACAAAAGATCTTTAAGACCTTATGTTAAATGAAATTTACGATGTGGTGGTTGCTGCATCTTGGGTAGGTGTGGAAAACACAACACCACGTATCATGATTAATGTGTAATTGAATAGTGGTTAAATATTCATTGATTATATAGGTTAACCGGCGCTAGCCACATGAAAGATATCATTCCATCGGTACTTGAGAAAGAACGCGAGAAAATCAAAGCTGAAATCCAAAACGTGCAGGAAGTATCTATGATATTTGATGGAACAGCCCGACTTGGCGAGGCTCTTGCAATTGTGATACGTTATGTGCAGGAGAATTTCAAGCCTACGCAGCGCCTAATATGCTTGGAAGTTCTTGCAAAGCCGCTAAAGGGTTCAGAACTGGCGCAGCGATTGATGTCGTGTCTTGCTGTAAATCATAACTTTGGTCCAAATATGGTACTCGCCACAATGAGACGGCGCTGCTTTTTTATGTTACTTGTTTTTCTCATACCATTGATAATGTGGGAACCCATTTCAAATTTAGAGTTCTGGATATATTTTTTCGCCATTGGATAAGTTTGTTTGCCAATAGCTATAATGCCAAACTTCTTTGGAAAGAGAGAACTGGCCAATCAATGCGCTCTTACAGTAATACACGATGGTGGAGTAAGTGGGAGGTCCAAAAACAAGTCTATGAATATTTTGGTGATGTCGTGCCCTTCCTGCGAGAAAATGAGAATCTCTCCCCTGCAACACGCCAACATCTTTTGGAAATAATTGACAACCCTCGCGATCTTCAGGATCTCCGTTTGGAGCTTGCTGTAATTGTTGACGCTGGTGTCCAATTTGTCAAGGCAACCTACTATTTGAAAGGTGACGGGCCGTTAATTTTCTCCTGTTACGAGCGTTTATCAGCTGTTAGTAATGCCATTGGAGTAGTCAATTTTCCAAGCACCTCTGCCATTGCTCGAGAAATTGCCAACGGTGACGTTGTGGTTCAAAACCAGCTCATTACTCAGGCAAAAGCATGTGTGCAACCCGGACTGCTCTTTTTTCAGGAAAAGTTCAGCGTGCAGTTTCACACAATTGTTCGCGCTTTTAAGGTATGCCTGTTATTAACTCGCATTCATTGTGGAATTACATGTTTACGTGAAACTAATATTTGATTTATCCTTGTTATATTCATTTCGAAATCAGAAAAAGTCTAAATTTATTTTAATAATAATTATGTTATTACCGTTATTATTATATTGTAAAGGTCGCACGTCTTTGTTGCCCAGTGATGCTGCTGCACTCGAAGAATTTAGCAACTTTCCATTCGTGAATGACAACACAATAGCCAACTTAGCTAATGAGTTGCCAGATTATCTTGCGGCTGTTGATGGCGTCACTTTAGGCAATGAAGATGAAAAAGTTACCTGTTGGGCAGCACAACGCGAGACTTTACCACACTGGTCAGCTCAGGGACCGGTTGTATAAAAAAGTGATTAAAGTTAACTATGATTAAGTGCAAACGTCATCCAATAAGAAGCGCCTATTTGAGAGTTAATCACTATTTAACTACAAAATAGTGATTAAAAAAGTGATTAAGAGTTTTATACAACCGGCCCCTGGTGAAGAAGTTGCTTCTAATGCAGCCTAGCTCTGCTGCTGTTGAACATGTGTTTAGTTTGCTTAACAGTATGTCATCGCAACAGGGAAACTTACTCGAAGCTTACATTGAGGCATCTGTTATGGTTCGCTATAACAGCACTCTAAGAAAGCACTAGGTTGCTCTCTAATAGGCTCTCTAATCGTATTGAAATTCCATAAATTTTTTCATTACAGTTCCTGTTCACACTTGTTAATTGTTGTTTGGATGTATTGATGGCGTAAACCTTGTAATTATATAAAAGGAACTACAGTACATATGTGTAATTATATAAAAAGAACTACAGTACATATGTTCCTTGATGTTAGAGTTTGAAATACTGTTACTTATGATGTCAAATGTGTATTGTAAATATAAGAACATTAGAGCAACTTTTGAGCAACTTTTTTCACTTTGAGCAACTTTTTGAGCAACGTTTCGAAATTTTGTAGCAACTTTCTGACATATTTTGAGCAACTTTTTCGAAATTTGGTAGCACAATCTGGCTGTGCCTACAGTCCCCCCCCCCGTCGCCTGCCTCGCCCCACCTCCATGCACCATTGCATGCGAAACGAGACTTCACTATCAGGAAAAAATGGTTTATGACTTAAAAACAATACGATGGGTAAGACTCGTCTTTCGTTGATTTGTAATACTGGTCACACGTTGTCAGAAAAAGAAACCGAAACACATGTGAAGAAACGTACAGTCCATTTTTTGCACTTCTGGAAGTCAAACTGCGTTTTTAAACATGGTTATGGCGAGGGACACCCTCACCGACTACCTTGCACAATTCTGTGTTATAATATTCTCTTACAGAAAGGCCTTTCTCTCGTAAGAAGCACAACAACGACTGAACGTTATACGAACAGGTGTTAATTATGGACCACAATGTAAAATACTGGTTCACCAGTAATCTGTGTAATCCTTTAATTAATAAAGTTCAATTTTGAATAAGGGATCACAGTGTGTCAGCAGACCACTCACCGATCGAATCTTTTTGACACAGAATGTCAAATGGTAAGTAGCGATATGTACTAATCGTGTTAGTTTTGGGCTCTTTTTCAGTATGCTCTTATTCAGTATTTTTGCCTTCCTTGATGCGTTGCAAATTGGACGGGTTTGATAAATTCACATTCTTTTTTCTTGCTGTATTGAGTAAACAAACACCTTTTTCACTTCACATTCAGTGAGACTGGTGTAACAGATGGTCATTGGGGCCTGGTCGTTAGTTAAACTCGACATGAGTATATTGTAAAAAGCTACGCGCTCCTGCAAACAATCGGATTACAGAAATCGAAATAACACTGACACGTAAAAAATGAAATATATTATTATAAACATTTCCATTAGGCATAGCTTGTTTTCGTTCTTAAGATGTTACCAGGATATTATGTAATGTACAATCGCGCTAACACCCACTTTTATTATCATACAGTAAGAATGCATGGATTTTGAAAAGATCCATCATTAGATCATCCGAGATAATTAATTTTATTTACAAAATCATCAAATTACTGTTTTATTATATTTTAGTATTTTTGCACAAGTGAATATAATAAATCCTACAACCTGATTGGTCAAATATGACGCATTAAGTTGTTATATTCACCTACAGGTGAATATAACAGAGCTGAAATTTTCAAAATGGCGGCTAGCCGTTTTGTGGAAGTTTACTGATAAAGAATTATTAAGCGAAATTAAAATAAATTCATTACCAAATAACACAAAAGACTTGTGTAAAAATACTAAAACATTCGTAAAGGTGAATATTCCCCGATAATCACCGAGTCTGAGGCAAATAATTTGTCTGTATAATTGTTTGTTTGTATAATATATAGCGAATAAATTGTCATTGTTCTTCATTATTCCTTTACCTTAAGCTTGTTGAAGATTGTTTACCAATTTTGGTATGGTGGAAGCCTTTTGGTAAAAATACGGAGTGCGCTACGATAGACTCTATCAGTAAACACAGCCCAAAAGAACATCTTTTTCCAGCCGACACCATGAGTATTTATTCCGCACTGTTGTACAATGTGGTAAAGAGAGCAATTCTTCCAGTCTAGATCACCATGAATTGTCATGCTACGGTCGTATATGGTAAGTAGTGCACCACCTAAGTTCGACTGTCTTACTACATCTCCTGCCTGGACCTTTACCATAAACCTTTTCCCGGATTTGGGTTGATCGGCATACTCTGGCCCTTTAGGGTCAAGGCCTGGTGCTTGTGTATTCATGATTTGAATATCACAACCTTCGAATGGTGACCCAAAACCTTGCTTTGGAAGAACTTTTACAGTGATGGTAGATTCCTCCAGCAGAGAAACACATATGCTTTTGTGTTTTTGCCAGTCCGTTCTTTGACACTTCTTAGTGCAATATCCAACCGAATAACATCCTGTACAACTTCGTAACGGTTTCTTTTCATCACAAAATCCACAGAAATCTACCGTTTCCCTTTCGTATTCGGAATATGCATGATCTGTTTTAGCTTTGCTTCTTTCCTTGTTTTGTTTGCATTTCGCTTTCCTCATTTGTTCACGGTGTTTATAGAACCACATGTGTTCGTTCAATGTCTGTTCCTTGGATATATTCGGTAGATCTCGAAACATCATTTCGTCGTAAATTGCTGGCCCATTATTGTCAAAAATCTCATTACTTTCGACAACAGAGTGATATTTTTCAGGTCCTGGACCTATTGGTACAACCTGTACACCGCCACGCTTATTGCGATAAATTTTGTTATTAACGACGTTGCATCTGGCGTTGTTAATCGTGGCAATACCAAACCAGCAATTCTCAAAGATTTCGTTCGTTTCAATATGTGTAAATGACACTCCCTCAAGAAAAATTCCATGCCGATCGTTTTGATAGATGCGGTTGCCAATGATATTTATATTGGGGCTACAGAACATTCCAATGCCTTGATAACGGTTATCGTATATTTCACAGTCAATGACACGACACACACCAGCACCTGGACCAATGTGGATTCCAAGTTTATTTCCATGGAGCTTGCAGTTTTTAATGTCTAACACGCCATTCGTAGAAACTTGTACTGCACAAAATCCACTTGCTGAGAAAACACACTTTTCAACAAAGGTTTTCCCCAGAACGCGCAAAGAAATTTCTTTGCAGTTTTCAAAGTGACAGTTGGTAAAAGTAGAAGTTCCCGAAGAGACAAAAGTTTCTGAAGAGGGAAAAGTGGGCTGATTTCAATCTGGACTATCTGTGAAACTACAATTCAAGAAGGTTGCATCGCAATCGTCTGTACTCTCCCAGTGTCCATTATCAAAAGCCAAAGAAATATTTTCGGCATTTATGCAACCGGACGAAATTATGCCATTTCGTCCTTGGAAAGATAACAGAGGACTCGAAGCTGTTGCACCATCACCAACACCAATCATAATGCAATCACAAATGCGCAGTTGTTTCTGCAATGTATAATTACCTGCTTCAAGAATAACAATTTTACGCGGTAAGTCACGTTTCTCCTGAGAATATGAATTGGGATGCAAAATGGAGGCAACGAGTGAAGACATATTTGCAGAACAAATATATATGCGATCCTTCAAAGATTGAAAGAAATGGTTCTCAGAAAATGGTTTAAATCCGCCAAATATATTTCGCTCATAATAATATGCCAACGCTGCAACACAAGCAGCATCCCAAAGCCTTTTCAACCCATACAATGCCAGTGCTTTCTTAGCATAGCCTTTACAGCACTTAGGGCGAAGTGAAATATATTCTTCAGCATCTCTTAAAGCATCATCAAACTTTTCCAACTCAACAAAGGCTGAAGCTCTGTTGCTAAGAAGAGTTGGATCATAGGAACTTTTTCCATCGGTTGAGTTCATTGCATAAGTGTATTTTTCAACTGCTTTTTGAAAGCAGCGATCTTTGTAGTAATCATTCCCTTGTTCTTTTAGGTCTGAAACGGGCAGAATTTCTACGTTCTCTCCGACGGAAGAAAGGACTGTAGCAACATGAGGAGCGATACAGGAATACGAAATAACTCTCCGAACTAACTCCGGCAAAGGTATCTCGTGAGGAAACAAGCTTACCAAGTCGTCCTTTGTTAAAGATGTGTTCCCTAAGCGAATGATCTTGTAAGCAAAATCGACAACTTCTTTGGCTTCAGCTGCCATGCTGTTAACATTAAGGTGAAGAGCACATTCATATACCAATCTGGCAGTTTGTGGAATGACGATTCTTTGATCTAAAACCTGAGATAATTTTAAGAAACTTAAGAGAAGCTTCCGTATTTCATGAGCATGCAAGCACATCTTATGCCACTCGTGGAAAAAAGATGGATCAGTTGCCTGAAGAGATGCACGATCGTGATTTTTATCAATAATGCCGGTTAAAAGATCGTCCGGAGAACGTGAACATGAGAAACCGTAGCACAAAAATCGTACTGCATCAACAAAAGACAAAACATATTCCTCTGGCTGAAAGTTATCTCGAATGACTTCTTGAACCAGGCGATGGACAGCAAGAGAACTCCGACTTTCTTTAAAAAGAGAAAATTCGGTAAGCAACTTAAGTATATGTAATGAGCCAAGTGGAGTAGCAACGTAGTTTCGGTAAGAATCGTCGTCGATCGCAGGTTTCCCGGGATTAATAAGCTCTTTCTGAATTTCACTGGGATTAAAAAAAGCGCAAGCATTCAAAAATCTAACAGCGAATTTTCCGTGTGCACTCTGTTTAATATAATCAAAATTCAGTAGCCATGTTGTATGAACTGCCAATCGTTCTGGTGATTCATAAAGGGAAACAGGACTAGCTTCTTGGTCTTTTAAAAGATGTATGGAATACTGTTTGTACTGTTGTAAATAGATGGACAGACTGCAGGAAAGATGGCTTATATACGCACATGCTTGTTCCAAGGCAAGCGGCAAACCTTCAAGAGTTTCAACTAGACAAGCAGCTTCAGAACATGTGACTTCATTGGACGAAATCCCAGTCCTTTTAAAAACGAAACGTTTTCCATCTTCTAGACTGAAACACTCAAGCTGAAGACACTGGGACTCTTTAAACCCTCGTATGGTTTCACTCATGACTTTCGTCTTGCGCCTTGTAGTTATTAAGATATGACCAGATCCTCTAACGTTGCGCTTCCAGGGGCCAGACAACAACATTCCAATGTTAGAACAAAGCTTGTATTCATCCATATCGTCGAGAACAAGCAGCCATGGCTTTTGAATCTTGGAAATTACATCTAGAGTTTTAACAAGGGTTCTACCAGATGATGCTTCTAGCAATGTTCCAAAATATACCGCATGTTTATCAACGGAGGTAGCAAATTTTGCTTCATCTTCGCCAGAGAACCAGAATACTCCTCCTTCGTACTCATCTTTCCATCGATGTGCATATTCTGCCGCAAGGCTCGTCTTACCACTTCCTCCTAACCCGCACACGGATGCAATTTGAACTTTCGATTCGTTGATATCATCACTAATCTGGAAAAGTTTGTGAAGATTGTCTAGTTCAGATTCTCTGCCAGAGAACCACTCTGTTCTGTCAGGCAACATAAAAAGATACGGAACTTCTTGATTTTCAATAGCCAATTTTGCAACTTGGTTTTCCAAGGCTTGCAACTGTTGGGACGTCGTATCGTATTTTGTGGACAAATATTCTTGTTCAACTTTTAGTTTCTCAATATCTTTTCCCATCACAGACTGGATTTCCTGAAGACTTTGGATTTCCTTTTTGAAGAACTGTTGAACAGACTCTAAACTCTGCATTAATTGCATCTGAAGTGAATAAATTGAAAGAATTAAAAAAGTCTGCGTGTATAAATTAAGAATTATAAACAAATACCTTGTCCATTGCAGTAAATTACTGTTGGAAAAATTATGGTAGTCTTTTTTTATAAAATGTTAACATATATTGTATTTAAAAATCGACTTCAAGCACAGTCACTCTATATACGACGTCTTTCTTATCGTTACAACCAGGACTTTTTATGTCACCTTTAACCTTAAAGTGTATCCCTAGGGTTTTTGTATTATACTACACTATAGTATCCCCGGCCCGGTTGCATAAAAAACCCTTAACGTTTACGACTAGACTCACGTGCTCACTAAACTTACGTATGTTTCATAACATCACTTAAGTCGCAGACTTACAATGTACACGTAAGATCCATGACTTACGTGCGTATTACTTAATACTTAAGTGTGGTTTATGCAATATAACCTCCGGCGGTACATAAAACGTTCAATGGGGACATATAAGTGAAACATTGCACGAAAATTTACGGGATCTTTATAGGGGTTCCGTAAATTTACGTGCAAAACAAAGATGTGCACTAATATTGTTACACGCACCTTGGAGATAAAATGGAAGGTTAAAGAAGATTAACTGTTTAGAAATAAAATATAACAATATTTTGTAGTGAAGCAAGATAAACATATCTGAAAGTTGTTTTACGATACACGAACCAGCCATGTCCAAAACAAAAAGTGGCTCGAAAATTATCGCAGAAGAAGAGGTGTATGAAAAGCATCTCACCGACGAACATGTAACAAAAATGCATGGGAATTTGGCGAAAAAAGGAAGAAGTCATCGACCTTAAGTTACAATATCTTCGAAAGAAGACTACACATGCAGGAGAGTGTAAACGTACAATGCATAAACGTACAATTATCTCCTCGTTTTGTTTACTATTGTTTGCTATTGTATAATAAAATATTTAAACAATAAATATCGTGAAATATATGCTATATATGTTACCAACAATCAGAAGTGTTTAAATAAACTCTGTTTTTGCTTATATTATATTATATTATATTATATTATATTATATTATATTATATCATATCATATCATATCATATCATATCATATCATATCCTATCATATTATATTATATTATATTATATTATATTATATTATATTATATTATATTATATTATATTATATTATATTATATTATATTATATTATATTATATTATATTATATTATATTATATTATATTATATTATATTATATTAGATTAGATTATATTAAACTTTCATCTTCGCACGTAATGTTAGCAGTTAAAAAAAAACATACGTGTTCACCTACGTATTCTGGATTACAAGAACCGGTAACGCGTATATTTACGAAACCGTTAAGTATGCATTATGCAACACCCATACGTGGACACTTAGTGGACACTTAAGTGCCCCACTTAAGTGATTACTTAAGTGCACTGCCTCGTCCCCATGCGCCAATAAAAAATTTCATGCAAGTCACTATATGAAAGGTTTACATAAAATAGTGCATGGCGACGAACAAGCGCAGGGAGTTATGGGCTTGAGGCATCGAAAATTGAGGAACGCCTGGGAGATCTTATGCCGTTTCTTGCAAAATTCTCTGTTTCTTGCAAATCGCGGTTTTTCGACAGTTTGGGTGCTTTTTTCACCATTTTTTGAGAGGAAACAACATGTCAAATTGTTTAATTAAACATGTGATTGCAGTCAGATGATATTTGATATTATTTATCAACGCTTTAAATGATTCCGCGAGCGATGTCAACACTTGAAGAGTTCAACGGGGCTGTAGAAGCCGGTTTATAGAATAAATGTACAAGGTATGGAAAAATGACAATGCATTTTTATCACAATGAGCAATTTATTTTAAAAATATACAGCTATAAGAAGTTTTTTATTGTGTATTGCGTTTGCAAGATTCGTCTCAGGATTTCAGTTACGACGAGCTTATTTACATGCAGTATGTTAGATTTTTACGATCGAAACGATCGACAATATTAGTCAGGTAAGGATAACTTTATTTCTTTTTGGTGATATACATGAAGGCATTTATATTTAAATCTATTGTCTACTTGTTTTTATGAAATTATGTTCGACAGCTTTTTAACAAGATCGGCCAGGCGCTAACCAGAACGTTCAAATCCATTCCCCTTTGGGCGCCTATAATGTGACGCACTACTTCATGTAAACCTTTTATTTAGTGCATGACTCATATGTGAAATCGTTTTATAGCGCCTGGGGTCGAGGCAGTTAAGTGCAGGTTTTATGCAACCGGGCCCAGGACGCTACTGTGATTGACAATGCTCTGCTGAACATTCCAATTTGCTACATTTACTTTGAAAGTCTGTTACCATGGCAACAGCATGGTTAGAATAAAGCTCAAAATTTGTCTTTTTCAGGCCATTTTAAAACTTCCGCTCGGTAAATTATTTTAGAACTTTGCATAAAAGATAATACTGGTATAATGATTTTTTTCTTCAATTTTAAAAAATTATATCGATACGTTTCATAGAAAATTGAAGAGAAGTCAAAAATCAATATTAAAACTTTTCCTTTCGGTAGAATTTTAAGAAAAAATGATATTAAATTTGTTCTGCCGATATTAAGAAATGCGCAAAGTTTTAAAAAAATTTACCGAAGCAACACGGAGAAATTTTGGGTTATATTGGCATTTTTTACGAGACCTGACGCGAACAATTATCACATCTGATATGTACATGTATTTCGTAAACTACAAGTCATAATATTTTTTAAATTACCAAAAATAAATTATGTTTGATATACTGTTTTGCTACTGTCGGTTAAATTAATGGCAACTAAGCGTGGATTATTACTTACATGCAAAATTGGCAAAGATATTTAGATAATTATGGTTGACTTCTTGGTTTAATTTTGAAAATGTTTGTTAAAATTCGTTCGGTGCAAGTTAGTACTATCGTGCGATGCTTTCGCAGTACGCCCGTTCAAATTTTAGTTTTTATGATGGTATGTTTATGGAGTTTCGGCCCTACTTATTTCACTCGTAGAGGGCTGCCTCGTTATTTAAGTCATCTTTATTGTCATACTGTAAGTGCTGCTCGATTGTGCAGAAAACACTGCAAATACTTGAGGATATCATATATATACCAATGTTTGTGATGCGACCGTCGGGTACGGCAATCAAAAACGTCCAGAATACCGCTTGAAAAAAAATTTGCATTCTATATCTTTTTCTGAAACATCATGTACAATTATCGTTGTGGTTTTCCGAAAGAACTCTTTTTATGCTTTTAACTAAAGCAAAGTTCACACATTTGTTTAAAAAAAATTTGCATATAAAACACAAGTTACACGAGTTTAATACAGGCGATAGTTTACATATATACGAAAGTAACCCCCTGAAATGAAACCCAAGGGAGCCACCTTAAGTGTCTATTAGTCACAAAAAATAAGGATGACTAAAATAAAGACTTGTGCATGCAATAGGGTTTAACTCTACACCACTGCAGTACAGCAGCTTTGTTAGGATGATTGATTTACCTTATACAACCTTGAATAATTAAGTTCAACTATTTACACCGTACCTGTGCATCTTCGTTCTCCTCTCGCCATATTGCCACAGAATCATAAAGTTCAGCAACTTCAGTTTTGATTGTTCTAAGAAGATCGGGATCTACTGCTTGACCACAGCATAACTGCACACCTTTGAAAATAATTCGAAAAGCGATTGTTTCAACCTATATTTTTCAACAAATTATTGACTGATGAACTTTATTGACGCTAATAATTTCCTTTCGGGTGTAAATAACCAAACGCAATTAGTACAATCGCCTCAGGCCAACGCCGGGTACGGTGCTTCGCATACTGAATGGGCAGTGCGGTACGTATTATTGAGAGCGGCTATAATAAATGATGTTATATTCAGGGACGCCGGAACTGGGGGGGCAGGGGGGGGCGGCTGCCCCCCTTGCCTTTTGCTAGGGGGGGCAGGGGGGGCAGAAGTGCCCTTTTTGTTGTAAAATAATACGTGATAAATCACATTTCCAACGATGCTTTCCGTAGGAAAATCACGAGATTCAGGTAATTTATAGTTTGTATTTATAAAAATTTTGGGAAATTTTTGGAATTTAGAAAAATATTTTGAAGAAATGGCGAAAATTTAAGATATCCGGAAAAATTTTTGGCTTCACGGAAAATTTTTGTATGTCCGGAAAAAATTTTTGACCCCTAAAATGGTACACTGACCGAAATTTTTTTGCAGTGAAAAAAAAATTTTGCAGTGAAAAAAAATTTTTCAGTAAAAGTGCCCTTGGTGTACGTCCGCCCCCCTTTGCCCTATTATCGTTCCGGCGTCCCTGGTTATATTTGGTGGGACGTTGAATGCGCTAATGTATGACGTTTCTCGCAAATCTAGCCCGAGCATATTCGCCACTGAAAACACAGGCAAACAATGTATACGGTAAATTACCTTTGTCTTTCCAGTTATTCAGTTCATTGACAAACTCGTTTTCATCAGCACTTGACAAGTTTAGCTTCTTCACAAGGGACTCGATATGTTGTAAACACGCAAGATAATTTACATCACTCCAGTGCGAAAAATCACAATGAGCCCATTCATTTCTAACAACTGAACGAACTGTATTTGCCTGGGCCGCAGCTCCAGAAGTGTGAAATGGGTTAGCTTCACACAACAATGCTAATGCAGCAGATAAATCCATCGTTTGATCAAAACCACTGAACTTTGCCATGAAAGGTTGGACAAATAACCTGGCGAGAGACTCCGGATCTTTGATATTATAATCATAAGCACTATATCTTGACTTGTGATTGTCGTGATTCTTGTTGATATTTCCGTAATTCAGCGTAATCGTGGAAGGTGGAAACGTCATTGCATGTTTCTTGTAAGTCTGTTTGTGAATTGGTTTGGGAGAGACGCAAAGATTGTTATACCAAAGTAAAATTTCTTTTGCCAGGACAGTCCTTATTACCGGAGTAAGAAGTTTGTTCAGACAAATGCCAATGACGACCCATCTTCGTTGTTCGTCTGTTATGACAGTCGAAGGAGTCACTGAAGGCACGCTTCCTGCTGCAGTTGCCATAAGAGACACCTGAAATCAGAAGACTACAATAGTTAAAGACGTTCACAAGAGGTCAGTAAAAGAAGCACCTCATCGCCAAATTCTTTCACATTAGAAATTTTCCCTCCTAACATAGAGTATATATAGGCTGCTCTCCAGACACACGTATGTTACTTATGAAATAACTGAATGAATAAAAGGAAAGCATATAGTTTTGTGAATGATTTAATGTGCATTGGTACAGGTAATTCAACTTTTCCGTGCGTGTACGCACGTATGAAAAACGCGTGACTGGACGGTAGCCTTATGCATGTCAAGTATTACAATGTATTATATTATCGCCACTCATTGATGAGCAGTGCGTGGCAATTAAATCGCGTGATGTGGTCGTGTACCACCAGTCCAGCGGCGCCGTCCCAATTTTGCGTTTCGTAAACCGCCAGCCTTGCCAGAAACAATCGGTGTCACCACTTTCAGCGTCCGTCCGTATGAGTATATACTTTTAATTGGTAGCAATTCAGCCAATTTATGTTGTGGGTTCGCAATAACATTTGAGAACAGCTTCTCACATAGCATAGTCCGTCTGTCATGCAGGGTTTCCTGTTCTGCTTTTTTGTATCTGCGAAGCAGATATATTGCTATCGCAAACGTGACCGTACCGTACTGTTACCGTACCGTATGTTAACACATAGCCATTCAGCGACGAGCTTATATATTTTAAACCATTTTATGCCAATTTAAGCCAATCAGCGATTCGTTTGTATCAATTGTTTACATCGTGCCCACTGATCTAACCCGCGAACGGGCATACTTTAGCCTCGTCAGGCCTCGTGTATAAATCGTGTTATTGTTTCAAAAATATCTTGATATTTTTATCAATTTATCTTGAATTGGCTGTCTTTTTTTTATTCCGAAGTTATTTATCAACATGGAATCTTATCCTCATCTGGTAAGTAGTCAAATACCACATATTATATATTTAAATACCAAATTTGTGCAAATATATGTCCCACATATTTTATAATACATGAGTTCGCCAATTTGTGCAAATATATGTCCCACATATTTTATAATACATGAGTTTGCCAGTTCGGCAAATATTTATTATACTATCTAGATCTATAGTTAATATTGCCGTATCTTCGGCGTAGAGTTTACATGGAATGCACTCTGTAATTTTTTTATTAGTATATTACACTGTTAAAATATTGGATATTTTCGAGGATATTTTAAGCCATTTGTCAACATAGTTCACAAAAAGATTTATACAGTATTAAAAACAATCCTTCTGTGACTTCTGTAATATTTTAAACAGTGAAAACATTCTCAGGAGATATTGAATTAAATCCTGGTCCTGTATTTCTGTATATTGACTCCATAACTCTGTTCAAAACAACAGTCCAACTATAAAGCTGTCATCAAATGTAGTGTTAGAGCGAAGGTTGATGTTATCAGTTAAAATACTTATACATTTTGGTTTTACACATTAGAGTTAATTAAACAAAATTTTTACAAACATTTTCAAATAAAAGAATCCTCACACTCCCGAGCCTTATTACATTGTCATTTTGCTTTCTAACATAAATATTTTTCTTTAGAGATTAATACAAGAATGAAGAATAAATGTACTGGATATTGGCTGGATAATTTTGTCAGAACAACCAACTTGCAAGACAATCTTACCTAAATCATTAGTATGGAAAATAACTTAACAGCTACAATGAGTAATCATATATTATATGGTGGATTTGATCAATGGCACACAATGTACAAAACTAAACTTGTGATACCTTCTACTCAAACCGATAATCTCCCACAACACGATTGTTTTTGTGTGAATGTGCTGTACTTGTTAAACCGAACAGTGTGGTATATCATTAACTGTGCACGGAACTGGAATTTAATTAATATATACTTCACTCATGACCTTCAAAACATTCTCAATTATTCAGTGGTCTTCGACATGTTCACCAAATATTTTGTGTATGTTACTCAACAGTTAACATTGGCAAGTGTAAACAACAAGTGACATAACTTTTGCTTCATATGATTACAATCAAGTTTTGAAAATTTGATGAGTATGGATTGAATTGACAGGTGACAGTTTACTAAATAGCCTGCTGTATAGACACTTTGAATATTGTTTGCATGAAATTTTTATTTCCTGACTGCATAATTATCTGTTACAATCATAATCACATTATAAAGTTAGTTAAATTTTCTCGGTGCGGGGTGGGGGTAGCATTTACCCTGCTGCACTCCCTGCTGTGTACAGCCCTGTTTTAAATCTTATCTGCCATTATAATAAGTGATGAAATATTTCAATTGTCCCATGTCATCTTCATTATTCAGTTTCTTTCAAGAAAATACAAAATGTGAAGCAGATACATGTACGCGTCGCGCGTACCTATTTTTGTATCTGCGAAGCAGATATATATGCTATCGCAAACGTACCGTATCGTATCCCTAGCCATTCAGCGACGGGCTTATATAATTCAGCCAATTTAAGCCAATCAGCGATCAGTTTACATCAATTGTTTACATCGTGCCCGCATCTAACCTGCGAGCGGGCATACTTTAGCCTCATGACTCGTCAGGCCTCGTGTATAAATCGTGTTATTCTTTCAAAAATATCTTGATATTTTTATCAATTTATCTTGAATTGGGTAATTGGCTGTCTTGTTTTCTCTACTTGCGATATTATTCCGAAGTTATTTATCAACATGGAATATATCTTATCCTCATCTGGTAAGTAGTCAAATACCATATATTATAGATTTAAATACCAAATTTGTGCAAATATATATCCCACATATTTAATACATGAGTTCGGCAAATTACTATACTTATCTATAGTTAATATTGCCGTATCTTCGGCGTAGAGACTGTATACATGAAATGCACTCTTGGAATTTTTTTATTAATATATTACACTGTATAAAATATTGGATATTTTCGAGGATATTTTAAGCCATTTGTCAACATAGTTCACAAAAAGATTTATACAGTAAAACAATCCTTCTGTGACTTCTCTAATATTTTAAACAGTCAAAACATAGCAGGCAATATTGCCAATGAACAATACCAAAGGAAAATAATGGTCTCGGGAGATATTGAATTAAATCCTGGTCGTCTATTTCTGTATAAACTCTGTTCAAAACAACAGTCCAACTAAGCTGTCATCAAATGTAGTGTTGGAGGTTAAAGATGTTATCAGTTTACAATACTTATACATTTTGGTTTTACACATTTAATAGAGTTTATAATTAAACAAAATTTTTACAAACATTTTCAAATGCTAATAAAAGAATCCCCACCCTCCCTCCTTTAATATTACATTGTTATTTTGCTTTCTAAAATAAATGTTTTTGTCTAGAGATTAATGCAAGAATGATGAATAAATGTACTGGATATTGGCTAGATAATTTTGTCAGAACAACCCACTTGCAAGACAATCAGAATCTTACCTAAATTCATAAGTATCAATGGTATGGATACTGTCAGTAATAACTTAACAGCTACAATAATCATATATTATATGGATGGTCAGATCAATGGCACACAATATGTACAAAACTAAACTTGTGATACCTTCTACTCAAACCGATATTCTTCCACAACACAAATTGTTTTTGTGTGGATATGTTGTGTTAAACCGAACAGTGTGGTATATCATTAACTGTGCACAGGATTGGAATTGAATGATATACTTCACTCATGACCTTCAAAACATTCTCTACTATTCAGTGGTCTTTGATATATGATGGACTCTTTGCTACAGTGATGCATGTTCTTCGAATAGTTTGTGCATGTTACTCAACAGTTAATGTTGGCAAGTGTAAACAACAAGTGACAGAACTTCTGCTTCATATGATTACAATAAAGTTTTGAAAATGGGTATGGATTCACAAGTGACAGTTTACTAAATAGACACTTCGAACATTGTTTGCATGAGATTTTTATTTTTTGACCGCATAAATATCCGAGTTACAATGGGTCGTTCCAGAAAAAACCTGTACGCCCCCCACAGAGGAAATTTCTGCCGTCCGGAGGGGGAGAAGAGAAAAAATTGTTTATGATAATAGTAAATGTATTAGGACATGCGAAGGGAGTAGGGGGGTTAACTTCCTATTTCCTCTGTGGGGGTGGTATGGATGTTTTCTGGAATGACGCAATCACATAAAATTAGTTAAATTTTCTCCGCAGGGGGGGGGGTGAGTTGCCCCTGCTGCCCCCCGTGCTGTCATATAATAATAAGGTACAGCAGAATTGTAACTCGAGTCGGTTCCCTTATTGTTTTACGTTCACGAAAATTTTAACTCGCTCACACCATCCTGGCTAGTTTTTATACAACCGGAAGTTTTTATCAGGTTTTGGTAGATGCCAAGTGCCGGTTGTACTAGCCAGGATGGTGTGATTGATGACGAATCACTTGTAAAAACGCGGACAAATACTTGCTTGAGTTACACTTCTGCTGTACCTTCTTATTCTGTGGTGCTGTCTACAGCCTTGTTAGATTTGTACTATGTTTGACTTTAAAATCTTATTTGCTATTATATTTATTATAATAAGTGATGAAAATGTGAATCAAGTTTTTTCGCAGAT